CTTCAGATAGAGAAGAGGCACCGTCTCTTGACCCAGATCTCCTCTACCATGAAAAGACCAACTGGGTCAAAAGAGGATGAAGCAGCACTGCCCACAGCTCAGAGCCTGACAGTGCCGTGGCCACAAGGCAGGCAGAAAGGTCAACAGATGCTCCAGGTACAACAGCCATCCAGGATGGGCCTGTCATCCTCTGTCTGTCACAAACACATCCTTGTTCTCCTTCATTTACTTTGTCTACTAGGACCGTCCATCGAATACATTTCTTCACTAATCTGTGACCCCAAACTGAACCCTCATCGCTGCACTTGTCATTCTTTGTCCACTTCAGCTGAGCAGTAAAAACACAAGTTTCTGTGATGTGATGATGATTTAAAAACATATTGCTCTGAATTTTTTTTCATTTTTCAATATAGTATTTCTAATAGATATGCCACAAAATAAATACAGTTAGAAAACAAACTTACGTATGTACAAAAACTACCATTTCTTCAGTTGGTTAACAAGAATATATTCAAATAACATATGATGATTAATACTTGTGATCTACGCCTTATTATAGGATGCATTTTTGGTCAACACTTTTTTGTAAAGACGGTATGTTATGTTACAAAACCACATTTTTATAAATCTTGGAAACATAAAATTGTGATACATGCTCTTCTCTAATAAGCCTAATGCTAAAGTGGTTAGTTAGTAACATGAGGCCTGTCCTAAAGTTTAATGATTTGTCTGATTATATTTATTTTACACTAAGGTTCTGTGTATTGTCACTGCCATTTGTCTCTGTTTTGATGAACAAACCAAAATTTGGATGTAGTACAAACAAAATGTTGTTTGCACTACATCCAAATTTTAATACTGTAAACACGAGGATGAGCCAAATATGCCTACTTCATGCTAAATCTGTCACACAACACTCCCAAAGAAAGCACAAACACCTAAACATGCACACGAATCATGCACACACACAACATACTGTACACAAGGTACATACATAGACACACACTTGTTTTTGCTCCCACAGGTTACACCCTGGCAGAGGTGCACACGTTACATCACTGATTCACACTCAATTAAGCACATTCAATACTGCAAGTGGGTACACAAGCAGGTAAACACAAACATATATGAGTAAAGAAAGTTAACAAATCTCCAAGTGATGCTCAAACATGAACATGAATCACGTTCATTGTCATGCCTCTTTCACAATCCTCTCTTCTTTTTTCTCCTCACATCCCCTTGCTCTCTCACTAAGCTGTCGCCTCCAGTCTTTCAGGCTTTGAATTCTCTGTCAATAACCAATTGTGTTGCCCCTCCCCACCCCTCACCCCCTCTCCTTCCCTTTGTCCAGCATTGATCGCTCGGTGTTCAAACATCAGCTGAAAAACACAGCCTGTCACTCTTCAGCCACAATGAGAGGGGGCACTGAGAGAGAAAGAGAGAGAGGAAGGCAGAGGGAGAGTGGCAGCAAGAGACAGACAAACAGAGAGAGACAGTGGTTCAGACAGAGACAGGATGGGAGGAGAGCCCTGAGTATTTGGATAAACCTCTTTCTCTCTGTGCAGTGTGTGTTCTGAGCTTGCACAGTTTAATTAAAACACTTTTTGGATGACAGAGGTAGGAGACAGGCAGACAGCTTCTTTCTCTCCCCCCTGTCTCTCTTTGGGATAATGGAGCTGGGGGTTTAAAGTGGAACCTGTGTTTTTGGGCCAGCATACAAACATCCATCAGAGCTCAGCAGCCAGCAATTTGTGTGGAATGGAGGACCTTAAAGAGAAGAACTCCTCACCGTGCAGCACAGCAAGTCTTTTATTACTCTAATGACAGACAGCAGACAGCTAGAAAGCAAACACAGGCTTCTGGGTATTCTTTTCTAAAGCACACAATTGAACAAACACACACACACATATACATAGATTCAGGCACCAGATGACAACCTATGCTTTTACAGAATACGCTCACCCACTCGTGTATGCCAAATTCAAATATTGTATCTGTAGGAGCCCCCTCATTCAATTCAGTGTAAGTGAGAACTGGAGTGACAATGGTGAAGTAAGACTGGAAGACACAAGGGCCGCTCAAAGACAGGTCAAGAGTCACTCAGACAAGTGGAGTGGAGAGAGATGATGGAATACACACAAAGTACGCACATGAACATAACACTGGACTGCTATAATGACTGAGGAAAATGTATCACAGCAATGTCTGTCTTTGTCTCAGGCTGACTATAAAACCGTCTCTGTTGTTCTTTCATCCCTGTCTCTCGCCACCCTCTCTTGTCTCTCATTCTCTTTCTCCTCTCTCTCTCTCTCTCTCATACACACACACACACACTGATGACTGTAATTTTCTTTACCCCAGCGCCTCTAGCCATAGCTGAGTCTAAAGCATCTGTACTTTATCATTACTTTTACAGAGTTAGTCATTACTGTCCCCTCCAGTGCCCTCACTATCCCAAACTACCGCACTCAGAAGCGGGGGAAAACAGAGCAAGAGAGAATAAAGCATAGCAAGAAGAGTACTTTGATGTAGTCAAACAATGTAGAAACATTATGAAAGACTCAGGGTCAGGTTGTATTTGGAAAGAAAACTTTTTTTTTTTTTCATTAAGGCGTCCTGTGAGGTCAAAAACAAATAACAGCACAATGTCCCGCCTCCTCCCTTATGCTTTCCAGGTTGGTGTCTGACATGGGAGTGCTTTGCTTCTTGCCCTTCCCTGACTCCAGTGTGCCTTCCCTCCTGCCTGCTGGATTCAAAGCACTTTGGGCAGGTCCAGTTGACTTCAAATAACATCTTAGTCTTAAACACAAACACAGGCATGGAAATAAAAACTATAGCCCATAACTGTGAACCAGAACTGGCTTGCTGAGCCCACTAAGGACAAACAACTGTGAGGACAGCCAGTGAAATATGACAAAGCTGCTGGTGACAGAAGAAACAGAGCCAGTAAATAGAGTGATCAGCAGCCATTATGTAACATCGACTGGCTGACCATATATCCATCATCCTCACTCAATCTAACTCATTATCATCATTCTTGAGAGGAAGCGCCAAGATACAGTTCCTCACAGTGCACACACAGAGGCAGGTCGAAAGAGACAGAGATGGATGGATGGAAACAGTCTCTCCTTGCCTTCCTTAGAGGACAATTACATTGAGTGACTGATATTCAGACCAACCTCATTGTCATCAGCGTGAGAACAGCTCTGTACAGGAGGAGAAACAAACCACCGGGGAGGGAACAGATGAAGTACGGAAACACAAGAACTGGAAAAAGCAAGCGTTGAGATTTAGACATTTGACGTAAAATCTCTGAATATGTGAGTGGGACTGTGTCTGTGTGTGTGTTTTGACAACAGGCAGGCCATGAGGTGAAAAAAGTGCAGGTTGCAGCGACACAGCATCACTTCTCACACCAACAAAGACAGACGGAGTGTGAGGAGTCATGCAGTTTACCCATCTGA